TTATCTATTATATTTGTAATAAATTTCTATTATGTAATATATTAATTTATAAATATTATACAAAAAAAAAATAAATTCAAGCATTTGCAGTGTTTAATATTTGAAAGCATTTTTTATTACATTATTTTGTAAAAAGTTTTTTTTTTTTTTTTTTTTTTTTTTTTTTAAAAATTTTAAAAAAAAAAAAAAAAAAATATAAACATTTTATAAAAAATAAAATTATACCAAATTAAAAAATATGTTTATAAATTAAAAAATTTATATATCAAACAAAAAAAAAAAAAATGTATGCACATATATATAATGTATATATTAAATCATAAAAGTACATCTTTATATATTTCTTATAAGAATATTGTATATATATATATATATAAATATATTTTTATCATTTAAAATAATAAAGTTATTTTAACGAAAAATAAAAAATAAAATATTATGGAATATTTTTAAAAGGAGATTTTGTAGCAACAATTTTTTGTCGTTCTCTAAAAAAAGATAAAAAGAAAAAAAGAAAATTTATATAATGTTTAAATTATATATATGTATATTTTTTTATAAATTTAATTATTCATACTTTCTTTGTGTAATATATTTTTGATTTCTACTGGATGAATTTTCTAATACTTGATATGAAGGTGGTATAAAAGAATATGGAGCTAAAAAAAAAAAAAAAAAAAATATCCATATATATATATATATATATATATATATACATCTTTATTTTTTAATTTTTATAAAAAATATAATTACGTTGAACATAATTATTCATGTAATCCTGTTTATTCATAAAATTATCATTTGTTAAATTAGAATTCTTTTTAATAGGATCAAAATATTGAACATTTGGATTACTTATACTATTTATTAATTCATCATTTGTTTTTACTTGTTCCTTATTTGTATAGTTATTGATTAAATTATGATTCATTTTCAATTCATTTTCATTCTAAAATAAAAAAAAAGTAATGAAAATTTTGTGAATAAATATTATACACATATATATATATATATATATATATATATATTTTTTAATATCTCTAATTATATTACTATATTTTTAAGGTTTTCTTCCACTATATGATTTGTAGAATTTATTTTAATTTTATCAATAATATCCTCATTCATATTTTTTTCAGTAGTATTACAATTTACATTTAATGAAGTGGAATTATTTTGATTATGTATCAAATCACTTTCATAATTATGCGTTTCTTTCGTATGTATCATGTTTTTCATATTTGAATTAAAGTTATATATATTATTTATGTTGTTAAAACTTTTATTTAATTCATTTATATTATTTATTGGTTTTACCTTATTATTTACATCTATATTTTTATTTATAATAGAATTATTTGTATTTGTTAATTCATTTTTATTTAAATCCTCATTAAAGAAATTATTAGTTTTTTCTTCATTTTTATATTCACTTAAAGGATAACCATTTAAGTTATTTTTAACAGCATTACTTTCATTTACATTGAATGTATCTGAATTATTATTATTAAAATTATTATTTTTATTATAATCTTCTTTTAAGTGATTATTATTAAAATTATCATATTCACTTTTCCTTGTATCTTCTACACGATTTAATGCAATTTTTTTATTATCATTTAATGTATCAATGGTATTTTTAAGAAAAAATTCATTTTTACTATTTATATTATTATTAATGAAGTTATCTTTATTTATACTATCATCAAATTCGTAATCACCTGATTTTTTTAAAAAATCATTAATTTCATTTTCATCAAAATCATTATTAAATGCATTACATCTTAATTTATCCATATCATTTTCATCAAATTCATCTATGAAATCGTCTTTTATTTTATTTATTTGATTATCATTAAATTCATTTATTAAATTATTTTTCAATTTATCCATTTTAATATCATCATCAATCAATCTATTTGTTGTTAATTCACTTATAATTAAATCTGATTTAGAGTTAATTTTTTTTAAAGCTTGAGTGGAAATATATGTAAAAATACCTATATTATTAATATTTGAAGTAATATCTGTGTATATATTTTTATTTTCTTTATTTATTATATTAATATTTACTAAAATATTATCTGTGTTTTCCAATATATCATTTAATATATTTTCATAATTAGAAATATTCTTATTTTTTTCTAAATTAAATAAAATTCTTTTTAGTAAATTTTCGATATATAAGTTTTCGTTAGATCTATTTCTAGAAGTATCAACATATTTTTTATTTCTACTATGAAATAATTTACTTATCGAAATTTTTAAAAAGTATATAAAAAATACTATTAATAATATCCCATATATATCTGTATATTGTTTACTACTCGTTCTATGGATTGACAATATCGTTATAAAAAAATGTTCTATTTGATTTAGGATATTATATATTATTAAATTTTTTAATGGTATCAAAAAATAAGTATACCTATATATAATTCCTATTTTTATTATTAAGAAGATTTCTGTTAAAAAATCAAAAAAGGTTTTTACAAATTCTGGTTTTTTTAATTTTAAATTTTCATAATTTTTATTCATATGATCATGCATTTTCATTTGTTCATTTTGTTCATATTTACCTTTATCATCATTGTTATTTGTTGTAATGTTACTATTTTTTTTATATTCTAAGTCTATCTCTTCGTTATTAGAGTTTTCTTTTTCTTTTATCTTTTTTACCTTGTTATTTCCTTCCTTTTTATTTATTTTCTTTATATCATTCATATTTTTTATATGATTTATTTTACCTTTCTTATTTTTATTTTCATTTTCATTTTCTTCTATGTTTTCCATATTAATTAATTTTTTTTCTAAATCTAATATATACTTATTATCTCCCACTTCTTCAAATTTATGTATGTCCTTTAGTTCGTTCTTATCAAAAAAAATTTTACTTTCAGATTCTTTTTTCAATGGTGTGTTATTCATAAGTTCTTCATTATTGTCTTTTAATGAAACTTTGTTAGAATCTTTTTTCGTTGCTTCATAATTTTCATCATTTCCCTGTGATTCCATGTTTACTGAATCTTCGTTAACATGTTTAAAATCATCACCAAATTTTAAATTTAGACTTTCTTTTTTCATTTCTTCAATTTTTTCATCAAGAGAAATATATGGTGTCATATTTGTTTTATCATCATCAATATATTCTATGTTACTTTCATCATTTGTATATTTATTATCATAAAAATTATTTAAATCATCTTTATATTTATCTTCGTCTTTTTTATTTGTATTGTCTTCCTTTCCATTCACATTCTTAACTTTTTTATTTCCATTTTTTCCTTCATTCGTTTCGGCATTTGTTATGTTCTCTTGAACCTCATTTAAATTATTATCCTGATTTATGTGTTGATTTTTAATTATAGATATAGTTATAAAACAAGAAATAAATATGCAAAAAAATTTCATTTTTTTTTAATTTTTCATATTTTTATTAATTTTTGCATTAAAATATGTTTTATAGTTCTATTTTTTTTTTCTTTATTTTTTTTTTTTTTTTTCTTGTTTTGCTTTTTATTAACTTTTAATTTTATATACTATTTTTTTTTTTTTGTATTATTTTTAATATTTACACTTGTAGAAAAATTAAATGCAAGCATAACAAAAAAATTCTACATTGATTTTCTTATTTTATAATAATATGAATACACGCACATTTATGTATATAAAATACATAAATTTAGATAATGTATTTATGTAAATATATATTTATTTATAAAAAATTAATATAATATTTTTATATTTATAAATATAAATGTAATTACAAATAAAGAAAAAGATATTGTGTTGTATTTCCTTTATTCATTTCTTTGAAATAATGTGAAATTTCAATATNATATTAAGATTATTATGAATTGATACTAGTATAATAGGTATATAATTATATACATAGGTTAATTTTATATTAAAAAGAATAAGTAGATATCTTTTTTTTTTTTTTTTTTTTTTTTTTTTTTTTTTTTTTTTTTTATTATTATTATTATTATTATTATTATAATATTTAATTGTTTATTATTTTTATTAATTTTTTGTTAATACTTTTTATATTTTATTTTGTAAAAATTATTTTAATATTTACAAATTCTTAATCCAAAAAATATTTTTAAAAGATAATTTTAAATTATTTAATAAAAAATGAGGTATAAATGAAAATAATAATTCTCTTTTTATAAATATATATCATTTAAATATTAATGAAATTGTGAGTATATTAAATGATTCATAACATAAATTTCTGTAAAATTTAAAATAGCATTATTTGGCTATATATATAAATAGACAAAAAAAAAAAAAAAAAAAAAAAAAAAAAAAAAAAAAGAGCCCACATGGTTTCATAAAGGGAAAATCACACTTAATCTGCTGGCCTTCTATGATGAAGTGACAATGTTTAAGGGAAGGACAACCAATGCTATCTGAATAGATTTCTGCAAGGCCTTCAACATAATGTCTCATACCATTCTTCTCTTTAAGCTGGTAAGATACGATTTAACAGGTGGTCTACATGTTGGACAAAGAACTGGATTAATGGCCACATATAAAAGATTATAAAGAATTGCTCATTGGCCAAATAGAAATGAGTAACAAGTGGTGTCCCTCAAGGGTCTGTACGGGGGACAAAGTATTCAACTGTGTATTAATGATATAGATTGTGGACTGAACGGCACTCTCAGCAGTTCTGTAAATGACATCAATATGAGTACTGGAGTTGATACAGCAGAGGGAAAAGCTACCATCCAGAAGGACCTGGACAGGATATAATAAATTGAATTTCATGAAGTAGTAGGTCAAGTGAAAGGTTCTCCACAAGGATCATATCAGTCTCCCATACTGGCATTAATTTCATTGAGTGCAGCCCTGCAGAGAAGGACTTGGGAATACTGGTAGATGAAAATTTAGCAGGAGCTAACAGAGTGCTGTTGCAGCCAAAAGTTAAATCATATTTTGCACTACATAAACAGAAATGTTGCCAGCAGTCCCAGAGAAATTATTATCCCTCT